CGTGGGGGCGAATCGAATCACTAACGATATTTCGACAACGGTTGAACCAATATGTCAAGTGTCATATATCAAAAATTGTGTAATTGTATTTCTATGTTTCGTCATTATAGACTTATAGTTTTTGTTCACACACAAACGCAAAAAGTTGAAAATGTGTTTTCGGCACATGCTGTTATGATATTTTGTGACTTTAGAATTTCAAAAAATTACATTAAATTTTTATTTTGTTGAGATTAAGATATGTGATTTTTACGGCTAACATCGAGTACTTTCGCGTAGAAATAACATTTTTGGTTTCCATTTTGAGTATTTTGTGATATCGTATTTGGCAGTCGAACAGATACATGGGGCGAATCGAATCAACGTACTTTCGACTTCGATTTAGGGCTGACGCTGGGGTCATATCAACTGAGAATATTCACCATATTTATAGGATTTTTTATGGAGTTTCCAGATATGAAATTGATTTTGGGTGTTAAGTGGGGATTATACCCTTTTTTCGCCCAAAATTGAAATTTTTTGCGATTTTTCGAACTTTTGAGCTCCCCTCGACTTTCTATGGTAAAGAGTGGCCCCAAATAAGGTGTCATTTGATTTATCAAAGCAATCTGTGTATATTATCCGAAGACATTATTATCCCCAAACCATTATTTGCATGAGGAAAATGCATTAATATGTCAAAACCCCTTAATTTCACCCTAAAAAGCTAAATATCCCTCGAACCGATTGACGCACCTAAAATTTGTATTTGGGGAGTTTTCAGGGTGCTCTATCGAACACGCATAGATATTTGAAATTTGGTAGTTGAAGGATTCGATTCGTCCCCAAAAAATGATGGTCAGAAAATTGGCCATAAAATTGTCCGAGTAAGTCACACAACATGAGTGTTATCCATCAAAAGTTAGGCAATTACAATACCTATCATACTAGACTGCTCCAAAAAAAAATTGAGATATTCAAACTGCCCGATCGGTTTTCGAAAATTGGCCTCAAAAAATCGAAAAACGTAGAAGATACGGATCGTTCGTACGGAGCCTCTGGACCGGAGGCACCTCAAAAATCTTTCTTAAGTGCTTCGGTATGGGTAGATTCCCAATATTTCTCGAAAAAAATAACTTTTTACTAAGAAACTAATCCAAAAAGTGTATTTTTGAGTTACCTGCCGAACAAAAATTGATAATTCAATAGCAAAATGCATGAAAAACGTAACTTTTGTTGGGGAGGTACCTTAAATAGCCACTTTCAAGAGTTTTTGACTGAGAAGACTCCCCATATTTTCGGGAAAAAATAACTTTGTGCCAAGACACCATCCCTGAAAAGCCTACATTTTTTAGAGTTGAAATCGAATATGAGGCTAGAAATATGTGAAAACATCACTCGATTTAGTCATGTAGGTACATAAAATGTTCGTAAGGGATCACACTAGATGTTTGAAGACAGTAGAGGTAGAAATTGCTTGCTTTTATCTGTCAAACCGAAGCTCATGTTTGTGATTTGCTCATTCTGGCCTGAAATTTGTCTTTTATGCCTGAATCAATTGTCGCCAAATTTCATCCAAATTGCAATCTGACAAGTGCCAAAATGTTTGTATAGGTTTTAGCTACACGACACAAGTCAAAATCTGAACAAAAGTCTACCGCCTGGGTGACTGGTAGAGCAACAAATGCAAAAAATGCCGAAAAATTGCCATTTTTTCGGTCTTTTTACACTGTAACTGGCCCAGAATGGTTTTTTAATGGCTAATGTCTTGGTGAAAGTTATAGATATTGACGAGCCAAATAAAATCATCTCACTGGTTTCGACCGAAAATTGGCTAGAAAAATGATTTAGGTTGAAATGTTGCGATCTAAAATGGCTTCCGAAACTACCTTACTCAAAAATTTGATGAATTTTGAGAAAGTGGTTTTTTTTCTACGTTTTTCGATTTTTTGATGCCAAACCAATTTTTTTGAGGCCAATTTTCGAAAACCGATCGGGGAGTTTGAATATCACAATTTTTTTCTTTTGGAGCAGTCTAAGGTACCCAAAATGCTCGTAAGGGACCACACTAGAAGTTAAAAGGCAGCAAAAGCAAAGGCAAAAATTATTTGCCCTGTGAGGTAATATCACTGTTAAACCGAAGCTCATGGACGTAATTTTCTCATTTTGCTTAGAATAAACGCAATTAACGACACAAAAATCACATAAATCTGTACAAAATGAAATCGGAAATCAATTCTACATCAAAATTAGGTGGAAAAAGCTCTCGAGACGTTTCAAATTCGAAAAAAAAACGGACTTGTTTGGCTATATATAGCGTAAAATGGCGACTTTTTAGTCATTTCCGAGTATATTTGAGCCTCTCAAGCCACCAAATCACTATTTTATGTGCATTTAATGAACAGATTTGGATTCCTCGTCAAAAATTAGACTAAGTAGAGTCATTTTTAGCTATATATTTTGGAAATTTTGAGGGTCCTGAGGTGAGTATTTGCGAAAAAGTAGCCAAAAAATGGATACTTGGTCGAATTTTGACCTACCAAGGCGACAAAATCGCGAAGGAACGGTTTCAAATCATAATAAAAATATAATGATAGGGGAAGGTGGGGAAATTCGGAACACACATCGAAATAATTTAATAACATTCTAAAAAATTAACATTTTTCCAAATTCTAAAGTGGTACGACTTAGTAAATGTAAAAACCTAACTTTTGGCACTTGTCGCTTGTTGAAATTCGAATCGGTTGAAAAAATGTACCCTGTTGGCGAAAAACCCTTGATTTTGCGATTTTCAAAAATGGTGGGGAAATTCGGAACACTTCATAAATGGATAGAAAACTGAAACAATTTTGATGCAAAACGTTTATGGAGTACTAGGAAAAGACAGAAGAATTAATTTTAATTAGGAAAAAGTTCAAAAATAGCGATTGTTGTTAGTCGGATCTGTAATTGTTGCCTGTGAAATAGCTACCAATCATTTTGGTGCATTTCAAGTGGTCAGCTCGATCGCATAAATTGCAATGAGTATTTTGTCAAAATTTTGCATGAAATATAATAAATATGCATAAAAAATGCGATATCAACTTGAAAAGTATTAAAAATCACTTGATCAATTTTTCGTATATAGGGCGTTCCGAAATTCCCCACTCACTAAGGTTTACAACATAATCGTGTTTTGGTCACTCAATTAATTTTCATGCAAAATTCCTTTTGTGAGTCGAAATATTAATGGTATACGATAATTATAAACATATTCGTCTGAGTTGATTTTTCGAAAAATGTTATGGAATCAATGAAGACAGGCATTCTCAATATTAAAGTTTCATGAATTGATTTCATGTCGATGACGCACATACACACTC